TTTTTATGGCTTATCCCACTCTCAAAATTATGTTAAATCTCAGTGTTTGGTACAGAGTAGAATTAAATTTTACGCCAGAAACCAATGACTTGATCGTCTTTAAAACAACTCTTTTTTTCGATATTTTCATTCTTTCCTAGAACACTTAACTCCAGTTTTCAAGATACTGTAAGCTTATAATTTTCCTCTGCTCGTTATCTGAATGACAGCCGTCGATTTATCATGCTGCTGGACATGTCTCTGTTGGATTACTTTTGAATTGAGTTTATTGATTACAAACATTCATGCATGCCAAAAACTGAAACATTTGTAAAGGACAGCGAAAATTACTTTGCTTCCATCTTAGACAACTTCTATTTAGAAGTTGTATTCAGCTTTTACTACATTAAGGGCTTTTTTGTTTGAATGAAATGTAAACTTGACCTCTCACTGTTCTTTTTATCATGCTCAAGATTTTAACTGTTGTGATGAAATCTACCTTTTTTTCACTATTTATCCCCGTTAGAGTGGTCCGTGATATCTAGAAGATAGACTACTTAAGTTTTTATAATATTTCTTTGTGTACCCAGCAGTGATCTCTAATATCTTTGAAGAAGAGTGTTACATGAAAGTTATGGATCATCAATGAATCCAAGATAGGTCTTTTAACTGAAACATGGCCTTCAAACTTCACAGTAGATGACATTAAAGTAAGATGTCAAAATATGAAATATCTCTGTCTTATGTCATAACAGTATATTTGTATTTGTCGTGCTAAAAAGCCTATGGTGTGGACCAATAAACACAATGAAGTGTTGGTGCAAGAAATGTACCTGTTTGAACCTTGGAATTTCAAACCAGGGAGTAAACAAAGGGGCCAAGTTTGGGAAAGAATAAGTGACTCCCTCAGCTTTTTATTCTCTGCAGAGCGTCTTCTCCAAACACCCTCAAACCACTCATGTTTGACCCTGCTATATCCAGACTATCCGGTTGGATTAAAGACAACAGCATTGTTCTGTTATGTGTTTCAATGCTTCATTGGACAAAGTCCAAAATCGCTTGACATTTTCCGAATTTTGTCTTTCTACTTCCATTACTGCCAAGACTACCTGCCACTTAAGCAGTGGATAATACGTACCAGCCATGAGTGTAACATAATTACATCTTTTGACTTTACCGCCAAGAAACAATATTGTATATGGGTGACATTGTGTTCTATTGATATGAATGTATCATACAGAACACCAATGTTTCTAGCTACCGATGACTTTCTAATCAGCTGATCACAAACCGAAATTGGCCTCAGAGGGCGGAGGTAGGTGATGACTTGCATTTAGTACAACTAGTTCTGTCTTGTCCCTGTTCATCTGAAGCATGTTTACTGTCATTCAAGCATCTATATCTCGCACACATTCCACTATCAATAATTTTGCCAGGTCAGTGAGGAAGATTCAAAGGTGATTTATGATTGGATATCATCGCCATTCAAATGAAAGTCAACGTAGTGGTGTCTCATAATATCACCCAAGGGTGAAGTATAAAGCAGGAATAAAATAGCTCCAAGGACACTACCCTGGGGAACACTTTAATGAAGCTTATGACTGGATGACACTCCACCGTTTACTTTGACAGTGTGGTAACAATCAGACAAATACCGTATTTACTAGAATAGATGCCGCGGCATTTTTTATTTCATTTTTTGCGTTCCATCTGTGGCGTTTGTTCAAGGGCGGCGTCTATTTGGGGGCACTGTTTATTCAAAAATCACTTTATTCAGAACTAAATATTGTACTACATATGGTAACTTTTTTACTAGGTAACAGTAACAAATCAATATATAAATGTTGTTCATTTTGTCTATTCAATTGTGATTTTTACACAAAGTTAAACTTCTATTTCAACATCACTGTCCTCCTCGTGGTCAGAATCTAACAGCTGCAGCATTGGGCAAGCGTCTTCAACATCTGAGTCTGTACACTCAAACGGATTAGTGTCGGGTTCACTCATAATTCCCAGTTGTGATTTAAGCATTAGTTTTCCAGAACTGCATGGCTGTTCTTCCTTTAGGCGGTGAATGTTGTCGTCTCTGGACCCGTCTACTGGAAGGTTCAAGGCACATGTGGTAAAGGATTTCTTGATCACATCTGCAGGCAGCTCGGCCCAAGAATCCAAAATCCATTGCAAAATAGGTCTTCTTGGGGGTGTTTTTAAGTTACCAGAGGCGGTTTCTTCATGTATGCCGACTATACTTAGCCAGTGGTAATACTTTTCTGTGCAGCAATACTTAAATGGCTTGTTCCAGCGTACATCTTGAGCCTGGATGTACTTAGTGCATCCTCCTGGCACAATAACGCGATCGATTTTCTTTGACGTCAATACTTCAGTAATGGTATCTTCAATGTGGTATTCGTAAGAATACCAGGCTAACAGCCTACGATTGAATGAGAATGACCAAAGGACAGAATTGATCCAGACTATAATTAATAACGTGTTGTTCCGTCAAAAATGTCTGAAAAACTGAAAGGAGAGGCTCCAGAGAATTTAGAAATGGTATCTTCCTATCTGCATCAGTGCTCCAGCAGGAAATTTCTGCTTGAGGGCCAAAGTGGCCCCTACAGCCCACTCTTGGGAGCCAGGCCAATATTCCCCTATCTTTTTTTATTATGCAAAAGAGAAGAAACAGTTGGGAAGTTAAATAAATGTAAATGGCAGTTTATTAAAAGCTGCCATGGAACATTCCTTTTTATGCACAATAGAGTAAATCTGCTGCAATAAAGCAAATAGTACTATAATCAGAAATAGTATTTTTTTTCATTGCTGAATCATGCATCACATTAAAATGAATAGCTGAAATTGTTCAACCAATGTCTAAGTGGAATTTTTTTCCATATGATCTTGTTTTTGCTTCGGTTCATTTCCATGTTTTCCAATTTACCATCAAGATCTTCTTTTTGCTTATTCTGAACTGCTTCGCTGCCATCCCCAATGTTGTTATTTACTGAGAAAAAATTTTTTCATAGACCTCGAAGATGTGTTTGCCAGGTTTAACCTCCCAAGTTGAGGCTCAGTGGTCTCCCGACCACTCATGGTAAATGAGATAAACATGTTGGCCGATTAAAAAAGATTCATTGATTGATTTTCATGTTGTGTAAAAAGGTACGGAGTTGTTCTTTGGATTAAAAATGCTGTTTAATTGGAAAATTATTGTACTTGAAGTAACAGAGACATTTTAAAGCCTGGGGAATTGAATGAGGAAAGGGCCGTAATGGCCCTTGAACTCTTTTGTTGGGGGCCATCTCTCTATCTTTTGCGGGATTCACGCAATGGCGCACTCTGGCTGGAACACTGCTGCATTAGCCCTTCCTTCTCTGTAAAAATCCCCACTCCCTGATTTCTTTGAGGTTTTGCTTGAATATTAGTTTGTAAGTGCACATTAAAGCCTCTTCTGCTGTAATTGTTCCTTCAACTTCTTTCACAGTAAAGGCATGTCATTCTAGAAAAAAAGAAAATGCTCTGTCAGTCGATTAAGTAGAGCAGATGCCCTTTAATCTCATGAAGCAAAAACAAACATGAAAAAGTAATTATTACCATCCCTTCCGTTTTCCATGTGTATTATTGACTGTGTGATTTGACTTTTGGATTGATTTTTAGTGCACTCTCAATCCTCCCTTTTCCCTCGATGTGTTAATTTGTTCTCTTATTTGGTATCAAAGTGTTGACCAAATTACTCTGGAATTGTACTGCTTGTGAAAGGTATCTGTTCAGCCGAAGTGCCCCATGGGGCTGGAGAGAGGAGTCTCTGCTTGCTATGATCTATCATGTACCTCTATATGGATCATTTTGACCAACAAAAGATGTCTTTACGTACAATAGTTTGTAAATGCAGATTTTTAACAGAAATTGTTGTGAATCCAGATTAGTGTCTGTTAGTAAGAGAAGCATGTAAGCTTATAGAAGGTGTCTGTTAACAGAGTTTCTGTACATACCTGATGGAAATTGGGATTTTTTCTCCTGCTCAAGTTCTCTTCTGCAAACTAAATGTCATATACTATAGGCATGAATAGATTGTGCTAGTAAATTCAGGAAAAGTTGCTTCACAATATACCCAAAAGTTGCTCTAAAGTTGCTCAAATATCAAAAAGGTGCCACCAAAATTTAGAAAAGTTGCTTGATCTCTAGAGTCGTTTTGTTTTAGATAAATACTCAAAACGTGTTTGTTTGTTGCCATTTAAACATTTTCATTAAATATTCTTACAATCATTAAAAGAGGCCAAAAGCCATTGTTATATGACAAATATAAATACTATGTTGTAATTAATATACTCTTTAAACTCAACATAACTTC